GAAAAGAAAAAAGTAAAAATGTTCTTTTGTGGTTTTGTGATGACGCGGTTCCTGTTGCTCCCGGGGGACACTTGTCGCCTTTCGCTGTGACCACACGGCTAAGTGCTCAAATTAGTGCCAAAAGGGGCCAACACATGCTGCGCTTCATAAGAGATAGGAGCATTGAAAATCGCGGTGGTGACGCTCTTGTGCGAAGCGCCACGAGTGAGACATTGTGTGTAATCTCTATCAGTTGCAGCTGAAGCATTTAGAAGCGCACATCCTTTTGCCACATACTCTGCATAGCTACAAGCTGTTACCTTCTGCATATCAAGTGACAACCGGCGCTGCCCAAAGACACATTAGTTGGCCTCCACCAAGATTCCATTCCCGTTTCCCACGAGCTGCCTAACGGAGAGCACTTTGGCAATATTTCTGAACACATTCAATCCTGAAGGCGCACGTGTCTATGTTGCTTTCCAATGCTCTGCTGATGCAGCAACGGCGCTCGTTTGCCTACCATTGTATGCACGGTGCACGGCTGTGCGCTCATGCACATTTTGGCATGTGCAGGTCGCTCAGCCAAATGCAGGCGCCGTGGGACCTCTGGTGAAGAAGCTGTTTAGTGTGCACTGCCATCGCCAGCCCTCCAACGGCATGTCAGACGTTGCCCCGCCCCAGGGTCGTGGTGTGCTCAAACCCAATTGAATCTGGATGCTGATTGGCGCTCATTCGGATGATGTGGGGAGATCTAGCTAGGGTACTGTGACAAAACTCCTCTGGCTGCGCTCGCTCGGACCAATGTAGGTGGGAGGCGTTAGGAGAGGCCCACTGCTGCGTGTGATTGCCATGCTCGATGTGAGCTTATGGGGGAAGGTTTGAGGGCTGAAAGCTCCGAGAATCTGGTGGCCTTGGGTTGCCGGAAGACGTGGTTCCTCGGCTCGTGCATAGTTCACGCTGATGCTCTCTCGATGGCTTGGAAAATTTGAATAGATGCTGCTGCTGAAGGGTTGATTTGAGAGTTTTGGGTGCAGGGCAGAAGGCAAGGATTTGGATTTAAACCACTAAATTTAGTGATTCTCGAGGGAAAATTCCTCTGCCCAAATGTAGACAGGGGAGACTGGGACTGTGCACCTCGAGCAGAAAGAGGCTGGTTATCTTATTGCATCGTCCTCTCCGGAGTTGGTGATCGGCGTGCGACCTTTGTATGGGCGGACTATTTGTTGTGTTTTAGGGTGTGGAAGCAAGGGAACCATACATCGAAGACCCACCCGTCTCATCAACCATTGCCATCGTCAGCCATTTCTCCGCAGCCGCCCCACCTTCGTGTTGGCTCCTTGTCAGCAGGGTGGCATGCCTGTTTAGGATGTGCCTCACTTATGTAGGCGCTGGAATCGTACTGCCGCGGAACATGGCGGATGCATCCCTTCCAGAACCAGTCTGTGTTGTTTGAGACTGGTCCCTCTGACAACAAACATCTATGATGTGCTCCTGTTTTCTGCTGCTATGCCGCCCTCAATGCTGAGACAGTTTGGCGAAAAGCGCTGTGGCACATTTTGCGTTGCTCGAGGCTGACTGTAATGGATATTCCTCCTTCCGATGCGCTTGCCACGCTTTGAGCTACCCGTCCAGAAGTTTGGCCTTCGGCCCAACGTTCTGTACTTTTGTCGTCACCACATTATTCAAAAGAATCTGTAACAATGGTTTCCTTTTTCCTTTATGGAAAAGGTAGGCACCTTCTTTGAATGATGGCATTTGCATTTCTCTTCCCAAGCTCGTGCGTGCACATGTGTACAGTCACAGTCATTGGCACAACAACCGAGGCCCTACACAGAAACTGTTCCCCGCACTCTACCACCTTCGGCCCAACGTTCTGCACTTTTTTCGTTCCCTCTTCATCCATTCAGAGCCTGCTCACTCAGTGGCTGGGTTGCGCAGTTGATGTTACTCGTTTGACAACAGCTGTTCTTTGATTGCAGTGCCACCATTGCCACCGTCGCTGCTGCCACGGCTGCGCAGCACCGCCGCGAGAGTTTGCACCCTCTGCGAGCTGGGGAACCCCTTCCACGGATCCCGTTTCCACCCGCACATTTGGATCGTAAAACAACCGCTGCAGCCAGATTGGCTAATCGACGCACGGATCCTGGATCACGTTCGGCTTTGATTGTCACACACCGCGCGCTGCATTCGCGATGGCGGGGGTGTTCACCGCATCCCGTGCTCGCGCTCAAGCGCGCCCGTGGGCCTGGGCGTGACCCACGCCAACGATACCTGCAATAAACCCATCAACTCACTCCTGGGCCCACGCGGCTCAACGTCTCGCCTAGGCCTCAAGGCCTTGAGGTGGGCGGTGACTGCCTCGCGTGCTGCCATCGCCGACCCGATGGCTGTCACGGCAGTGAGCGTTCAGGGCAAGGGAGCAGTTCCCCGCGCCGGAGGGAGCCCTCGCGTGGGGCTGCAACTTCGACCGTTGAGCTTTTGGACCCGAGCTATCACCGCTGCGGCCATCGGCGCTGGCGATGGCCGCCATCGACGACGGGGGATTGCGTCCTGTTCGCGACGCCGCATAATGACCACCGTTTCACTGGGTGGATCACTTATGCTTGATGGCTTGCGATTAGTGTGCATGTCAAAACGTGAATCGCTGCTTGAGATTGAAAGAAAAAAAAGACTGTGGTTGCAGAAAAATGGTGCTATAAAACTTGCAAAGGTTACTCCCACCAAGATGTTACTTTCCTTGGAGGGGCACACAGGATGTCTCTTTCCCTGGTGCAGCATTGAGCTTCTAGCCTATGCATACTCCTTTGCTTGAAGATTGGCGTATGTTTTATGAAAGTACTGAATAGCCATTTCTGTGATTGAATCCTGGTCTGGAATTTGGCTTTTGAGGTAGTTTTCGATCACACTCATGTTTGTTGAGGACAACATGAGCTTGTTGAAAGAATGTCCTGCAATTCACATAGAGATGCCTTGGTCATAGTGTCTTGTCCGCAAGATGCAAGGGTGTGTTGTGGGGGAGTTTCGGATGTGTGTTTCCCGAAGCTTTACAACAGTGTGACCGCCCTCTACTTTCACTTTGGCTTGCAAGATTTGTTGTACTTGCACTTTGCAGTGGGGGCGTTTGGAAATGACCATATGTGGCACCTGAGTAGTCAGAATTGTGTTGTTTTAAATTCTGAGTGAAAGGGAAGCTGTGGCATGTTCCATACGTTGGCTGCACCTTAGTGATGAGGTGGCATGGGGTTGAATTGCCATATGGGCATTTGTGATTGATGACAATCCTTGGGAGTGAAAAGGGTGGATGAGTGGTTGCGAAAAAAGGAATTCTGAGTGGGGGTCGTTGCCGGCGGCGGCGGCAAGACTCTGTTGTGGGAAGGGCGAACAAATATGTAAGCCCAAGGCTGCTCGTCCGTGAGTTTGGTCCAAGGATGGCCGCAGCGGACTCCAAGGGAGCGCTGCAATCACCAGCTTCCAAAGCGCACTCCAAAGGATGGACTCGAATGGCTATACCTTCAACAGTCCCACAATCGCAACGCACAACTCCGCACCTCGAGAGCCGGCGATGGGTTCGGCGAGGCCTCTGCCGAGATCACCCACCACCATCGCCATCGCTTGCCATCGCCACGGGCGTGACTTGCGGGCCATCGCCGCATGCGCATTGCCCTCAATCGACCCAAAAGAGCATTCGACACTCACAGCACGTGATTGGCACACACCGCGCGTCGTGATTGTGATGGCGGAGATCCATGCCCCACCCGTGCTCGCGCTCAAGCACGCTCCCCAACCCGGGTGGGAGCCGCACCCCTGTTCTCCGCTTCCAAAATTTCACTCCAGGGCCCGGGGGCCCGAATGCTTGGTCTTGAGGGGCGCGCTGACTGCATCCGGTGCCGCGGTCGCTGCGCCGGTGGTTGCCACAACAGAGCGCTGGAAGGCTCTGGAGTCGCTCCGCGGCCCGACTGGAGCCCTTGCGGGAACGGCAACGCCGAGCCGCGAGTTTGGGCGCGGGCCGTCGCCGTTGTGACGATCGGCGCTGGCGATGGTCTCCATTGCCGCCGCGGCGACGCGGAATCGCGCCGAGAAACGTGCGCCTCGAGCGCAAGCGCGCACGGAGCGCCGCAGCCGCGGCAGCGATAGCCGCTCCCCTCCCGTCGGTCGCCCTCGAGCGCAGCCACCGGCCCAACCCGGAGGGGTCCCGTGCCCACAGCACCCGACGACTCGGAGAGCACCGCTACTCACGTAACCCCGGGGGTCGATTCTTACACAAGAACGCTGAGTCAGACTCTAAAACATTCATTTCCGGGGCGCTCTTAGCCAAGTTGCCAGCTTATAATATAAGACCGTTAGACCATACATGTTCTACTGCATACCATCCGTTATAGTATATATGCACCCGAAGTTCTACAATGCTGTAGGAAGATCGGCCCTCAAGCCACCAGCCCACCAGGGCCATCAAGTGTCCAGACGTAAATCCCAACGCTCTGGTTTGTATCTAACTTCAAAATTGGGCCTAAAATTTGTCATGCCTGCTGACATACTCAAATCCTAGGGCAACCTAGAGAATTCTAGTCCCTGCTGGCGTGCGTCCTCGGGTCTGGTCACCAGGGCATGCTGCAGCTTCATGACTTGGCCAGTATCCATGCACATGAAAGCATACACCCAGCAACGCTATTGTCAATTTTGGACCCGCACAAAAAGAAACAGTCCCCAGAAATCCGGTTGGCGTGATGGCGGCCGTGCCTGTGTCTCCACTCTGCAATATCCTTGCCAAACACAGCGCCAGGCAGCCTCTGAACATTCCAAAGCTACCTCGAAGCCGTTGGCCGTTCACAGCGCACAGTGGCCAATTCCTACATTGTCCCCATCAACTCTATCGAGTGCTAACACCCCCAATTGGCACCATCTGGTAGCTGGTCAGCAGATAAGACCCGCCTTACCGCTCCAAAGGGCTGTAACCCAATGAACACATTTGGACACGTGGCACCTGACAACGCAAACCCATTACCCCAAACCTCCCCTGATCATCAAGCCATCACGAAATCATCCACGAACCTGGCGATCGCAGCATCCGAGACGTCGGCCAGCTCGCCGCCAATCATGGCAAGGTCGTCCATCTCCCTGAAGTCATCCGCTGAGGACAGCGCCCCCATCCTGTCCTCGTCGAAAAACTTGTTGTCCTGGTCCACGGCGATCTGTATGCGGGTGTACTGCCCCGGGGTGGCGTTCAGCACCTTGTAAAACAGCCCATCCACGATGGACTGCATGTACTCGCTCTTCTGGTCCAGGAACAGGGGGATCATCTGGCCCTCATTCAGCCAGCCCAGGATCCCTTTGTCCTTCACGGATATCCGGTTTGGCAGGACGACCCCGCAGCCGAGGGACAGCACGGCGAGCTTGGAGAGGGGCACCTGCCGCTGGATCTGCATGTAGGACAAGGCGCTGGTTGTGGGGTTGCTGGAGATCAGCCCGCCATCGGAGTAATTCCGGGTCGTGCCATCGGGGTAGCGGATGGGGGAGGCGGGGTACAGGGAGGGGAAGGCGGCACTGGCCACCGCTACCTCCTTTATGCTGAAGTCGTTGCCGGATTTGAACAAGCGGTCCTGGACGAGGTCAGCAGCAGCACCGAAAGGTTAGCGCAAGGGCGTGGTGGCGTGCAGAGTTGTTGCCAACAAACCACCAACATTTGCCATCCACATCCTTGGGACTATCTCACAGCACATGAAGTATGCATGCGCCCAACTTGAGCACCTTGATCGTAGATAATGCCAAATTCAACACATCCAAGGACATATAATGGCAGATGCAGAAGTGATCAACAAGGGTGTTGCAGGGCCAACCCAGGAAATGACTGAATCTTACTAAGTCATCTGTGCAGAGTTGGGAGGCCAATGCACCATTGGCTGGATGGACAGTAAAAGTCATACATGACTAAGCTGACATGTCCCAAGGCTGCAGCACTGGTTGGATGCCTTCTCCAGGGAGCCCAATCTTCCCATGCACCACAACAAGCGGCGTGCAGTTTCCCGCTTGGAGTGTTGCACCCATCTTCTGAGGACTTCCCCTTGCTGACATCTCCACTCAGTGACACAACATCCACTTGTTGGATTCACTCTGATGATGAATAGCGCCCCCACTCACTGGCTCCGTGAGTTTGTGCAGGTGGGAGCTCTGAGGCGAGGGAGGCATCTGGGGTCTTGGACGTGGCCAACAGACACATTTGCGGCTGTCCCATCCATGTTGCACGTATGTGCCGGCAGGGTTGACATGTACAGCTTTGTCGCAGCACCAAATGTACGGACGTTGACGTGCACATTTTGTCGTAACACCATGTGTGGGAAAACTTCTTCTTGTTCTCCTTCTACTCACCGGCTCCCACTCCCCGCCCTTGTCCCCCAGCTGTCGAATCCTGATCGCCGTGTAGCCTGTCTTGGTGGCCTCCCCGCCCGAGCAGTCCGCCCAGAAGTCCACCGGCCGGCTGGTCTCTAGCTCGAATGTCGGCATCAGCACCGACGTCTGCGCGTCGCCCAGCGTCAAATCCCCCAGCACCCTCCCCATCACATAATTCAGCCCCTCCAGGCCGTATTTCGGGTTCAGCACCGCGCTTAAATTCGCCAAAGGCCCTAGGGGGGATGCGGGAAATATTTCGTCCGCCTTCAGCCGGAAGATCATCTCCAGCGCCCGTGCGGAGCCCGCCCTCAATGGCGGCATCCCGCTCTTGCGATCATATTCGACAAACTCCCCGTCGCTGGACAGCCAGGCCTGCGACAGGCCCCCTTTGGTGACGAAGTAGCTCGCCTGGACGGCGCCGATCGACGACCCAGCGACCAAGTCAAAGTAGTCCGCCAGATCGACCTCAAAGTCGCCCTCGGCGAGCCCGTTCCGCCGGATGTTGTCCTTTATCTTCTCCTCCACGCGCTCCAGCACCTTGGTAGAAATCACCCCTCTCGTGCCGCCCCCGTCCAGCGACAGCACGGTCTTGTACTTTGGCGCGGATTTCCTCGCCTTCACCGCAGGGCCGAATCGAGGCGCGTTGGCCGGACCGCTGCCATCCGCGCCTCCTGGATTGGGCCTCTCCTGTCGCGCAAGCGCCGGGGGCGCCCAGGCCAGCCGCCTGGCCTGGCCAGCCAGCCCGGCGCCGATGAGAACCTCGCAGACGCCGCGCCTGGTCAACGCCATGCCGCTATTCCCGCCCATGATGCGATGACCACGCCCCGTTACGTTGACTTTACTCTCAGCCCGACAACCGCCGGCGGAGGCAGACAGGATCTTCGAGTGCCGAAAACGGATATCAGAACAGTCCTCAAGGGGGGATGGTGTCGATAACAGATGTCGGAAAAGCCGCCGAGGAGGGAGCGAACCGACAGCGCTGTCGCCCACGTTGCGACTAGAGCCCCTTCCGAATCGGCATGAGCACGCCCGACGGTGACTCCGGCGCCGACGAACCGAGCTTCGTGGCCCAAGCACAGCCGCTTCGCCACCTTCCGCCACGCGGAGATGGGATATGTGCGGCGGGCCCGGGTGCGGATGGCTACGGACTGGCCCCAAACTGGGGATCTCAAGAACGGGGAGCCCGTGCGGGTCGGGGGAGGGGCCCGGGGGATACCTGCGTGGCAGGAGGCGGGGGACAGTATCCATGCCACATGCGGTCCAGCTCAATACGTTCCTCACCATGACTCAGCACCATTTCTCACACAAACAGGCCGCGACATGCGTCTGTGTCTGTGTATTAGTACGGATGGCAGGGTATGACTGAACCGGATTCGAACCGGCTGGGATGCCCCACCGCTGTACCAAACCTGACTGGGGGCAAGGAGAGGGTTGTACAACCCCTCAGTACGATTCAACCCAACACACCCAATCGTTGTTGCTGTGCTTCACGCAAATTCTGTCGTCGCAACGAGAAGGTGTCGCTGATCCACAACAGCGACTCGAGCCAGGTGAAGTAGCGTAGTACATTCAACCCTTCTGCATCAAAAATAAATCGTTGAGCTTTGTTGCTCTGCGTTTTTTTTCAAAGCGTTGTTTGTTTTATTGTTTTCTCCGCAAAAAATGGCCAAGCGTTACGTTACCATGCGTAAGGGTCGAATACACTAAGGTATAGGATCATGCGAGGCTGAGCCTGAGACCGACCAACACGCAACTTGCAAGCAATCAAACAAATTAAATGTCCAACCGAAACAATAGAATCACTCCACCCTCAGAAGGAGCTTGTTTTTCTTCCCAACTGACAGCAGCACCAGCCTGTCGTCCACCAAGTCTTCTGCAGACACCATTCGTAGTTCGTCATCGACCTTTGCGTTGTTGATGCGTACGCCACCATTTTTGATCATCCTGCAAACCAACATGCACTCATTGGTGTTCGACGCTCACTGTCCAGTGTTCAGGACGACAACACCGCCCCCATTTTCTGATCATGAGTGCAAACGAACCAGTGTGACCAGCAATTTTTTTGATCTTCCCGCTGCACCCTCGATTCCCCTTCCTGGAGTGTCAGTATCCATTAAATGTGTTCCTCACCTGCATGTCAGATACACAGCCATACACCGAATACACCTGCATACCAAGTTTGCGCCCACTTCACAAGAAAGGATGCGCCTCCATTCTACAGGGCATTACTGCGGCCTTGCAGGCTGGAGGAGATGAAATGCATCGACATCGAAAAACGCTGATCCATTGAAAGCATCTTTGAAATCCCCACCTCCTCACCGCCCCCTTGCTGGGTTGAAGGCCAACGCCAACTATGATGTCCACAAGCAGAGCATCTTCGACCTGGTCCCGGGGAAGGCTGGCGGAAGGCGCGTCGCCACTGATGGCCTCTAGGGATGCTGTGTCAAGGGTGGTGTCTGAGCCCGGCGCTAGAGCCTGCACAGCACAGCCATGTGGATTGTCCAGTCCACGGCAGAAAAAAGTTTCTTCCTTGAAGAAATGAAAAGGCTGTCCAGCACAAAGAAGGCGAGAGGGTCATTTCCCAACGAAAGATTGTTTACATTAGACAATGATACTTTGGACCTCACTTCAGTACATTAGTGTCGTGATGCTGGGGTTCAGGGTAGGGTGAGTGGTGTGAGGGGGTCGAATGGCTTAACAGCTGCTGCAAAAGTGCACAACAAAGACTACAATGCATGGATAGCATTTTGTGCGTGTTAATCCTCGCATACATTACCTTTGTTGTGTGACAAGCAGAAGCCCTTGCACCAAACTGGCGATGTCGGGCAATGGTCCCAAGCCCATATGTGTGTTTGATCCTACAATGCTTGTTGAAGTCTGGTCAGCCCAAAAAGCTGCCAGCCAAAGTTGCCTTTAGTGATTGTTCAACAAATGATGAACAGCTGAGTCCAATGTTGTAGTTGACTCTTTCAAAATGAGCACTGATTTCAGAGTTCTAAAAACACAATGCTCAGCACAGAGTACCCGAGATGCCAAAGCCAATGGTGAAATGTGCCACAGGGATATTTGAGAGAAAAGAACCCATTCAACAATGTTCTTTGAGGGAACTACCTCAAAACATTAAACCTACTGCTCGAAATGCCTTGTTTATTTACTTGTCCGAATTGAGCTGAGCCCAAGTACTCATCTATTGCAGCACAGAGCGGCAGGTTTCAGGACAACGTGTGCATACCAACATTACTGCCTATGAACCAGAGAGGAAGAACTAGCTTACTCGAAGGACGAGCAAAATGTCAAGGTGCAAAAGATGATTCCTGGGCAGCATGGGATCAAACCATGGAAACAAACGACATAAGCAGGTCAGTGTACAATGAAAAATCTGAATCACAGATCACTGTGCTTGCTGTTTGGCATGTTTCCGTTCGTTTTGCAGAATTTCCACGGAGCACATGGAGCAGTAATAAATTGGCACAAGAGCGGAGAAACCAACACATACTGTCACCTCACCATTGTCGCCCTCTGGGCCTGCAGCAGGCCTTCTTTCCCATGCACAAATTCAGTTACCTCCTCCGCTAATCTCCTCTGTGCAGTGTTGGGTAGGTAACCGGACTCTGGCGTGCCTTTCATGGCCTCCTCAAGGGCGGCAATCTCTTCTAAAGGTAGGAATGTCAGCATGCGCAGGAACCGGAAAACGTCTGCGTCGGTGGTGGCAAAGAGGTGTTGATAGAATTTGTATGGTGACAGTTTGTCAGCTGACAGCCACACAGCACCGCCCTCCGACTTGCCAAATTTGCGGCCCTCCGAATCCAGCTGCAAGCCAACCAAAGACTTTACTGAGCACCCGGTTCCCAAAAATGATTAAGCCAATCATTTTGGTTCCACTGTTATACCTGGTTGGACGTTGGAGCTGTAGCCAAATGGAATATCACTGATACACGACGTTAACTATGCAACACAGCTTGGACACTGGGAAATTCGAACAAAGCATGAAATCTTTCACCTCTGACTTGCACACAATCACAGCATCAAACCCTGCGTCTCCTCTGACAAGAGTTGCGACACCAATCTCTTCCATTGCACTCTTGAGAATGTTGGCCCATACAATCAATGCTTCCTCCTTGGGAGACTTCATACTCACCGTGTGCCACGACACAACCTAAGTCATTCCTCGTTTTAAGAGGCGTGTGTGTGCAATTCTTAGGAAGCATGAAGATGTACACATCAGTGGAAAGCTATCTTGGTGATCATGCAGTGACATACAACAAGCTGGAAGACTCTGACCACTGCAACACATGATACGTGCACACCAATCTTGGTATTCATTTACCAACAACGAGCTTGCCTGTCTGTTCCCTGCCTGATGATCAAGTCAAGGAACTTGACAGACAAGACAGCAACACCATAGTACACTGTTCTGTACTTTCCGTTGTATCCTTGCTCAGAGTGGGCTAGTATTGGGGGTGTGCTAAGTGTTAATAGATTCTCAGCTTTTAAAGTTTGGGATACAAATTTCACAGGGTGCAACGGCTTGGGTATGATATTAGCTTTTGTGCAGTGCGGTTTCATCCCTTGTCCAGACATGACACTGGCATACCAGCAATGGAAAAGTCAGCCCAAACACCACAGGCGCATCCCCGTACTCGGGCTTCCACAGCTTCCTTGTCAAGTCGGTGCCTGCTGTGATGTTGCCCCACTGATCGCTCCCACCGATCTCAACCTTGACGCCCTCGGTGCGGCACAGGTGAAAGAAATCATAGCCCTGCAGAAGCTGGTAGGTGAACTCTGTGAAGCTGATGCCCTCCTCAGACGCAAGGCGGGTCTTCACCTGAGTGCCAGCATATTCTTTTTGCCTTTTCCTATTCCAGCAGGACATCAAATCTATGATTCCAGGTCGCCTCCCCTCCCCCCCCCCCAAAAAAAGATCTGGTGCTGCCCCCAAAAGAAAATGCAAGGAGCTGCAAAGGCCAAAAGAATGGTCGTACATTGCTATAATTATCTCGACAGGCACAGCGTGCAAATGTAAATAATGCAGCCTAAACCGCTCAAACGGCGATTCAGGGCAAGTTTCGCCTACAGCTAGTTTGAGGGCATTTCAGCAGCGTAGGCTTCCTTTTGCTGCAAGTTGTGACCCAGTCTCACAGTGTTGCAGTTACGTACAGACAACTGCTGATCTGCTCCCAGCTTAAAGTGCACAGCATGCAGTGTTGACGCTGAGTCAAGGATGAAATGCAAAAAGTTGCCCTGCAAGGGGAACATAGATGTGGGATGGGTCGTCGAGTGGGCAGTGAGGGCTGGGAGATAAAGATAATCCCATACATGGGCGCGATCTGTTGTGTGCATTTTTCTCAGTCATAACTGGCAGTCAAGATTTCTGGAACCCTAAGAGCACAACTACTACCATGCCAGCAAACAATTCTAGCTCACAATGCTGGCACATGTGTCAGCATGCTAATATGCTGATTAGAGACAACCCACATGGCATGGCTTTCAGTTTTGTGCTGAGGACATCAACACCAGTAACTAGTGGTGCGACAGTGGGGACATCAGTGAAGTCCCCTCTCTGGTGTGTGTCCTGCAATGACAAAGGAAGCAATGAAGCTGCCTGTCAGGAGATGTTACTCACCGAATCCTTGGCCAGCATCACCCCCACTCTTGCAAATTTCCCAACATCTCTTAAAAACTCCAGAAATTGCATTCCTCCAAACCAGTCCAGGTTGTTAAGGATGCGAAGCGCACTGCCATTGCCTACAGTAGACCTGCCCAAGATGCGCTTGATCAAAGATGCGATTCCTAAGGGCAGACCACAGCAAGTGTCCCTTGCACTTCGCAATGGAACAGAAATCCTTGTGCAGTTGACGTCCTTCCACCACACTGCACAATCCCCTTGATATGTGCTTGGGCAGGAAATACGCAACATGTGCCTAACAACCTCACAAGCATTTCTGCGAATTGACTGGATGGTACTCCCTTCAGTCAAATACCATTAACGCTGCCACATGTAATGGTTCACACAGGCAACACAGAAAATTGATCCCCCACCTTCACAGTTCTTCTGAATCTGCTCTTCAGACATCATGGGCCTCTCCGCAGACTTCCCAGAAGGGTCACCAACCCGCCCAGTTGCACCTCCAATGAGGGCAATTGGTTGGTGGCCGCACCTCTGGAACCAGCTCAAGACCACAAATCCCAAGAGGTTACCAAGGTGCAAGCTGTCAGCTGTTGGATCGAAGCCGCAGTACACAGAGAGCTGCTCATTAGCTGCCACTGACTCCAGTTCTTCATTTGTGATGCTTTCTACAAGGCCCCGCTCTCGAAGAATGGACACGATCCTCCCCTGTGTGCTGGTTCCTGCACAATCGGATCATGTGGGTCTCTGTGGTACTAACGATGGCTTGAAGTATGCTTATCCATTGACTGCATTTGCCAGCTCCAAGGTTGGACATCCCCAGTCGCTGACAAAGAGAAGGATGTGAAGGCTGCACAGTATCCACATCCTATTATTTTGCGATATCTCTGGAGTTCGACGCCTCCGGGACAACACACACTTTGCAGTCGCAGTTGCCTCATGTTCTGGTGAATCACTCTTAGTCTGTCTTTCATGTGATATTCTCATGAATCCAAAATCTTGAAAACCCAAAGAGTGGAACAGGTTTGCTTCACATGTGCCAAGCATTCATTCCTTTGCGCTTTGGCTGCAGCCAGCATCTGTGCTATGCGAATGTTGAATGAGGCCCAAAGAGTCGATGCAACCACACATAAGGGGGTAACGGGGTGGAGTCGGCGACTACATAATGCCTACCCACACTATGGAAACCAAGGTTGATCACCTTCAGCACAACATAGGCTGGGCACAATGCGGTTTTGAAGAGAATAGCCAACTGAAAATTGAAAATGGAACACAGTCAACCTGGCAATGGCCTGCAAGACAACAAGTCATCAGGATTGCCCACCTGCTTGCGTGGGCACCGAGTCCACCACATCTGCAGAAGCTTGGCAGTGAATGCTACACACACAACGCCCAATTCAAGAGAATGAACTGGAAATGCATTCCTTCCTACGTCCAACAACTCTGCAACTAGCAAAACTTGACAAAATTCCCATGGTCATATCATGAAGCTGCCCAAGTCCTGCCCGGAACAAACCACAAGTTTTCCTTACAATGTTTTCATTTCGTGTGCAGCTGGTGGACTGAAGGGATCGTGTGATGCCATATGTGGGTGGTCGCACCTTGCTGTGAGACTGCTGTGTGTACTTAGGACTGACCAGGTGGTAAGTCCATTGGGATGAAGTTGGGACTCATCACGTCTGCCTGTTGTGTTGACTCGCCCCTGCACCCAGCCATTGTGCAGGGCAGCAAGCCCTCCAGGCGATGGTCTAAAGCCTGCCGCAGTCAAAACATTGGCGGTTCTGTATCAAAGGGTGAGAAGGCAGGGGTGCACAACCACATCGAACGTGGACAAATGTTTGAGAGATCTTTTGGAGCTCTACAGGACCAAGATGTAAGTTTGTCTGAAAGCAATACTCCATGTTCCCTGAATCAATAACTGCAGCGACTTCTGACACCACTTGACACAATGCGGTCTGCAAGTTGAGCAGGTTTCAGTGTGCACCTCGCAATGCGGCTGCTGATGGGCATTGAACGACAAATCTTTAAGCCTTCAAAGAGGGAGGCTGAATGGGAACTGCAGATATGTTTATCCAGCCGTCGATCAGACCGGTCAATGGATTGGACAAGAACAGGGTTCAGGACGTTGATGCTTTCTTTGCTGTTCCAATGTAGGCATGAGTTGGCCGTGGTCCAGCCATCGCCCAACACCCTGCCCCACCGTCTTTACAACTACCAAGGGGACACAGCAACTGCTGAACCACCGTGTGGCGCGATGTACAACTACATTGAAACTGCAGGGAGGTTGAATGCTAGCCAGAAACACTTGACAGCGTTCAAACTCCAAGCCATGTCAATGCGGATCAAGTCTTAGCTGTCAATTGAGCTGAATTTCACCCGCTCTGATGCACAGGAGCGCCAGAAGTGCGGCCCCGATGCTCTACTAGGGTGCCCAATGTCCTTGACGGCCGGCGCCTCAATCAGCTGCGACGCCCATTGCCACCCTGCTCATTCGTCGTTTCGAATTCGCAGACAGCCATCGAATTCTACGCCTTAAAACCGTGACGACAATCTTCCAAAAGCAACTGATGCCGTCGGTGGAGCTTTTCGTGCCATTGCCGCCATTTTCCCAGCTTTCACCCACTCGCGTTGAACTCGGCCACTCACGAGTCAGGCAAGTGCTTTCACGGCAAGCAGACGCGCATCGCGCAAGGGCCCAACTCGGGAGAGGGTCCCCATTCAACCGTTTTGCCGGAAAAGCAAACAAAAAGACAAAAAAAGAAACGGCGATTGCAGCGGCGGGTGCGGCCCATTCGACGCCGGTCGTCGATCCATCGCACCTGGCGCCGCGACGCGCGACTGCGCCACCAAGGCCGCCTCCCGGCTGGCCGCGCGCCACAGCATGCGAGTCGCCGCCGCCGCCCAACCCAGCAGGTCACAAGTGACCTCTGCAATCGGGCTCAACGCCCAACTCTTGGAGGGGTCTCAGCTCTGGGAGTGGCCGGCAGGCGTGCAGCTTTGCAAGGGGAGGCGTGCACGTGAGCAGGGTGGTCGGCCAACTTTGGGCCAATGACCGACACGTGGCATCCAACCGAGCGTGCCAATTTGCCCCTCGGGCATCTCAGTTCTGCTCCTTTTAGAGGGGCGTCTGTCCCGATCGGCAGCTGTCGGGGGCGCTTGGCACGGCGGGGGCCCACCCCTCTCACACCCCCTCCCCCCACCCCCACCCCCGGTATCCGCCCAAAACGGCATCTGAATACTCCTGGGGCTAAATCTGCAACCGCGCATCGCCAACCAGGCGCGAGCGGCCATGTGGCGGCACGCCCTCAAAGACCCCTCAGCGGCCGGCGGCATGGCATCAGCCAGGCTGGGCCCGCTGCGCGGCGGCAGGGCTTGCCACGTCGGCGGCTCTGGGGTCCTGATGGCCCGTCGGCGCAATCTGAGGGTGGCGAGGGGTCGATCGGCGGCGGGCGGGCCGGTGTGCTCGTTCGACAAGGTGCTGATCGCGAACAGGGGGGAGATCGCGGTGCGCGTGATCCGCGCGTGCAAGGAGCTGGGGCTGAAGACGGTGGCGGTGTACTCCACGGCGGACAAGAACTCGCTGCACGTCAAGGTGGGTGGATGGTCGCCTGTTGGAGCTCATCTTCCTCGGCTGCGGTTGGCTTCTCAATCTACATGGCCATGTCCCGAGGACGAGGCGTGTGCAGGGGCAAGCTGTGGGGGGCGCTTTTGGTACCCATTACGTTTGTTGGGAGAATGAGCATGAACGTTTGAAGCTGCCTGTTCGCGCTGTGTGCTGATGAAAGTCCTTTGGGTGGTGCGCCGTGCGCTTGGGCCGTCTGACCACCGAGCCCCAGGGATCATAGTCCATATGCTGTCCCAAACCTGGTCTGGAAAGGCAGGCGCTGCGAGATGAGAGCGCCTTTGCCGGTCGCGCGAGCACCGGGGACGATTTGTGGGAACTCGGGCTTCCGCCCCTTGGGGCCCATGGTCCTCACATTTCAAGATATCGGGCTTGAGGAATTTGGGCGGCGCTCTCTGGGAAAGTCGTTTGTCTGCGGTGCTGTCGCTGCCCAGAGTCCTGTGGCTGGACCGAAATGAAGCATTGTGGCTCCAGCCTGGTGGAGGGCGAGCAGATAAAATGAATGAATGCGAGGTGTAAAAGCTTTTGTATGCAAACCGCCTGTCACTGCCTACAAGGTGTAAGGGCACCGCATTGTGTCGTTCCGGCCATTGCAAAGATAACAGCCCCCAGGCTTTGGGAACCTTTTGGGTAGCCCCTTAGCTCGTTGGCAAGGAAGGAATGCCCCCCCCTTACCTGCCCCCTTTCTATTCTCCATATTGATTTTGCTGCATTACATCTTGACCACTACCCTTGGTGGGTCCTGCAGTTGGCGGATGAAGCAGTGTGTGTGGGCGAGCCTGCCAGCGCCGTCTCTTATTTGGATATCCCCTCGATTCTCACAGCAGCTCTCACACGAGGAGCACAGGCTGTGCATCCGGTAAGTTCATTACACCTGCTGAGTCACAGTGGTGCAGACATTTTGACTCCTAAAGAATGAAGGATTTAATTGCGATGAAGCATTCAAACATTTGGATGGACTTGATCTGTTTGTCACGATCATTTAGCCCATGCAGTTGTCTATTCAGACAACTTGTGCACCCACCTGTTTTTGCGCCACCTAAACTCATTCAGAAGCTTTGCTTTTGTGAGTAAATGAATTCATACACGGGGGTCCCCCACCAGAACTACTGGACTTGGGGTCTCTCCCACCACTGGCACTGATGGCTACGTGTGGCTAACAAGCAGCACAGCTGCTGGTTTGGAGTATGCTGACGATGAGAAGACTTGTTGGCAGCATGTTGTGCACCCATTGAGTCACAATGGGTTGACACTGTTGGAACTTGGGTGTCACATGGATCATGCCAATGTTCCTGGCGCTGCCTTGCAAGCACACCTGTTGTTTGTGTGGAATGGACAGTACGTTGATATTCAACTTATTTATGGTACCAAATGGTGGCCATTCACTGCAGTCAACAGTGAAGAAAGGATAAGGGAAGCCCCCACTGGGATGTCTGTTGAAATCGCTCTGATCACCCAGACTTGCAGAAATTTCAAAATTGCAGAAGTTTGGCTTTCGCCACTTTCCTCAGCAGCCCATCCAATTTGCGCTTCTGGTTGTTGGCGACATGCCCAATTCGTGCATGGCAGTGTCGCTGTCATTTGCTGTGCTGTATTCTGAACCAAGGCACAGGTTGATCAAGCCTGACCAGTTTTGATCCTTGCATTGCAGGGCTATGGCTTTCTTGCAGAGAATGCCGAGTTTGTGGACATGTGCACAGAACAGGGCTTGACTTTCATCGGTCCCAAATCTGACCAAATTAGGTTGATGGGCGACAAAGCAACAGCAAGGGACACCATGAAGGCAGGTCTTTTTGCCCTATGCTCAGTACACATGTGTTGGAGATGTGTCTCACAGGCTGACACATAACTTCTTTTCTTTCTGATGGATTCCGTGTTGATTGCCAGGAAAACTGTCTGAACATCTAATTTCAGTGGGGACAATTGCCATGTGTGTCATTGTTACATTGCTGCAATGGATTCGTTCATGAGTTCATTTTATTGACATCATCTTTGCAGGGGTAAAAAAACACAAGCCCTATTGAGAAACGTTTGCATGTGTACTGAAAGTATTGTTCAGGTAGTCACATGCCGATTTCGGTAAAACGCTTTTGCGTTGCAGTGAATTGGCTACAGATTCAGTCTCTTCTGATCCGAGGGGCAGCACATGAGTGCATAGATGTGGTTGAAACTTTGCAAACTACAGAATGTGGCATTACAGAGGTATTGCAACAGTTGCTGCTCATAATCGTTTGAAAATGCTGAAAAGACGATGCTGAAACTTAATTTGCTTGTGCTTGGCAGGCTGCAGGCGTGCCCACTGTTCCTGGCAGCGATGGGCTGATTGAATCGATAGCCGAGGCGGAGAAGATTGCGGGGGAGATCGGGTTTCCCCTCATGGTGAAGGCAACAGCAGGTGTGCAGAATTTGCTCGAGTTTGCTAGAGCACTCGAAACGTTGCATGTGCGCTTGGGGCTATCCCTTGCGCTTGCTGTGATCTCCTGATTTTGGGCCGTTGGTGTTAGTATTAGTGTATAGAATTTGCAGTGTAGATCCCTTGCAGGGATCATCAGGTACAGGAGCAGCGGATAAATGGTGCCATGTTTTCTGGCTGTACATATGTTTTTCTTTCCATGTGGGCATTTTTGGTTCGATTATTTGGCATACCCTGGGCGATGTGGGCAATTATTTTCAGTGCACAAGCGTTGACAGCCTGGCCAGTTTCTTACCTGAATTCCTACAATCCCCGCTCCACCCAAAACAACAGGTGCAAGACTGGACCAAAACAAACAGGCAGCAGCCTTTTGGCTGTCTGGTATCAGAGAGCGTGTTTCAGGTGGTGCAGTGACATGCGAATGAGATTTTGAGCCTCGTTATGCATGAAGGTGGTGGTGGTCGTGGCATGCGCTTTGTGGAGAATGAAGAGGATCTGGTGCCAATGATGAAGCAGGCACAAAGTGAGGCAGAGGCTGCCTTTGGCAATGGGGCGGTTTATATCGAACGCTATGTTCAAGACCCAAGGCATATCGAGTTCCAGGTGTGGGGCAGTGGGCAGATTTGTCTTCTGATTTAGATATTGAGAACCTCAAAAGAATAGCTGGAGCAAACAAAGTGGATGGAATTGCGTTGGTGGTAGTTGTATCCGAATGCACACCACCACAAACCCTACAGCCAAAAAGACTGCTGTGAATCTCATTTGTGTTGACCCTTGCCTTATGTGGAAGGTCCACATGTTGTCCAATCTGCCATGAGTAGACGACCTTCTCTACAGTATTGAGGGGGGTGGCGATTGGACTCTTGAATGTGATATCTGTTCTGGAATTAAAAACGTCTGGTGAAGAAGTGGAATTCACGTCTCCCCAGGTGTTGGCAGACATGCATGGCAATGTGGTGCACCTGTATGAGCGCGACTGCAGCATTCAGAGGAGGAACCAAAAGCTGCTGGAGGAGGCGCCCAGCCCTGCACTCACACCTGAGGTGGGCTGAGGGACCCAGTTGCCCCAGTGCCAGTCACCTGTTAGCTGTGCTGCTCATTCGTTTCCTCAAATTCCTGAGCTGGCAGAACATTCCCCTTGAAGGGTGTCTTATGTTTTCCTGTACAGAAATCGTCGTTGTCTGCCTGTGATGGTCAACTAAGAATGGTGTGAAGCTCACCACAAGCACAGAGTGTCAGTGTTGCCCAAGATATGTTGAATGATTTGTCTTGGAACCTGGCAGCTGATTTTGTGCCCACAGCCATGTCTTAGGCAGGGGCCACTGTACTGCTCACAAGGGCTTGCCTGCAAGTAATGGTAGCAAGGGACAAATCATCTCAAAAAGATTGAAATTACAAAGGCAGAGTATCCTGCCAGGGCCAAGCCATTTCTATTCTTAAGTTGTGACCAAACTGATTGCGATTGTGGCAAGCATCTCCTCCACTTGTGCAACTGGGCAGTTCTTTCACAGAGTTTGTTCATTTTGCTTCAAGTACATTTGAAAGAAAGAGTAATATTTGCATCTGGTAGTACATCTGCATTCCCTATGGTATTTTGTGCTGGTGATGCACAGTGTATTGTTCAGTGCACACCATACTCTAGCCCGACTTCGCTTTTACCAATCACTGATGTGCCGCGCAGGTCCGGAAAGCCATGGGCGACGCTGCCGTGAATGCTGCAAAGTCCATCAACTATGTTGGCGTTGGGACAATTGAGTTCCTGTGGGAACAGAAGGGTTTCTATTTCATGGAGATGAACACGAGAATCCAGGTGAAGCTCTTTTGGCCATCGCAAACACACCAACCATCGTGCTTACATGCATTTGGGCGATGTAGCCTTTGTTGCTGAAGCATATTCCAATGAGTAGCATGACAAACAAAACCCTTGCAGGTGACTATGGACAGAGCAGCGTCCAGCCAGATTGTTTAAGTTTAGTCTCCCATTTTTCAGTTCCGCCATTCATAGTGTAGTGTGTTGATGAAGTGCTTTGTACTTATAGTCCTGATTGATTCCTTTTGATTGTATCAGTTATTTGTGTGTAGTGATTGATTGGCCGATTGCTTGGCTGACACATGGACTGACTGACCGGCTGATTTTTGGCTGGATGCCAGGTGGATGCTTTCATTTCTTATCATTAGACCCCTTGGGAAGTTTTAAAAAGGATTGGCCAACATTCTCCATTGCGATTGGGTGCCATGACCATCGCTGCTTAACGACAATGCAGCTGGGTGCTTGTTTAATATTTCTGTGTTGCCTCAGGTGGAGCACCCCGTAACCGAGATGATCACTGGGGTGGACTTGATCCAGGAACAGATCAAAGCCGCCATGGGTGAGAAACTCAAGCTGCGCCAGGAGGACATCGAGCTCAAAGTGGGGGCACACAACCTTTTGGGAAAACTGGACAAGTCATAGTGTTTAATAGTGCCTTGTTGCACTGCTGTTTGCCCTGGAAGGGTGGCACAAGGGTACCTTGTGGCAGAATTCCTATTGGTGTGTTGCCTTTGAAGGGCAGGAAACATCAACCCAGTGACTTTCTTTGGTGTGCAAATAGCATTTCCTTTGGGAAGTTTTGGGAGCACCATGTCTGTGCGAACGGAGCTTGCATCCTCTTTGCACAGAGCTTTCATGTGCTCTCCAACATGCTCAATTTCTTGCCTGTCTTGGCTAATGTATCGCAGGTGCTTTTGGGATGATCTGTTGGACTGTTGTCCAGGCCTTTTGTGAACAATGTCCAAGCAAGTTTTCGAGCCATCAACTTTTAGCAAATACATGTTGTCATGTTCAGACTGTTGTTTGGTTTGTGGCATCATTTCTGTCTTTTAAATGTGATGTGTTGCATATTTTGGCACGCCAAAGGCACAGCTATCCACTGCAAATGTAATACAAAAGGACACTTTGCAAACATTGTAGTGTGCATAATGTAAAATACTTACCTAAACTTTACAGGCAAAGTGGGCAAAAGGCCAAAGTACAAAGTGATGCTGAGGTCTTGTGCTCATTTTTGCCTGAAAGGGTACTTGCATTGGTGTTCTAGCTTCTTACCAAATTCTGATATTTCGTCAGCAAGTCAGCACGATTCCAATATCTGCAATCTTATGAATGAGTTCTATTTTGTCTATGACCAAGCTTGGCTTTGAGGATTTCGTGAATGCATTTAAATTTTGTTGAGATTTGGTTGTGGCTGCCAGGGCCATGCTATTGAGTGCCGCATCAATGCAGAGGACCCCTTTAAGAACTTCCGACCAGGGCCCGGAAGGGTGAAGGAGTATCTGGCACCTGGTGGACCCCATGTTCGGATGGACAGCCACATCTATCCCTCCTACATAGTACCGCCTCATTATGACTCGCTGCTGGGCAAGCTGATCGTCTGGGCAGAGAACCGTGAGGAGGTGTGCGGTGTTCTGTGCTTTATCAGGATGACTTTGTGCAGGGCCTAAAATATATTCATCAGGGTATTTTTGTGTCTGATCGAAAGTCAAAGTTCAGAAGTTTGTGCATGGCTACTGATGTGCTATCAGCATTTCGGATAAGTACATTATATGTTTTTCACATTCCAGTTCCCTTAGATTCACTCCTGGGAATTTCTTTTTGTATTCCAACACATTGCATGGAACAGTAGGTTAGATTAGATCGATTGTCTGGGCTGGGGTGCACAACATATGTTGTGGTAACTCATACGCCCATGTGTGCACATGCCCCTATGTGTGTGGCACATGTGATGCTTACACAGCAGAAATTTCCAACCTGTTACAAGTATTGCCACTCCGAGCATGTCATCACAACTGGGTAATGTCATGCACTGCACAAATATCGAATCAACAAGTGTAAGACTGGTTCAAGATTGAACAGGGCTTCCCTGGCCCAGTTCAATTGTGTGGGCATCCTGTTAGCAGATGCCGGCACTGCCTTGTGTAGAACTCCTTTGAGAGCATCGGCCTTTGCTGGACAGTGCAGTGCAATGTGTCTTTGCACACATGCACATCCATTGTGTTCGTCTGCTCCCCAATTGTCCTGTCAGTTTCCAAAACATCTCGCTGAGCACCTGAAGTCGCTGCATACTGCTATACTTAAGGCCTTTTCAGGTAAAGTGGGTAGAGCAGTACTGGCAATAAATATTCATTAGGTAATCAGGCAGTGAATGTTCATTAGGACTAGGTAATCAGTACCTGCTGATTACCAAGTGGTGCTTCGTTGTACCCACGTTGCCCTACAGGGCTTTGTACTGACACCAAAATTTTGTTCACGAGAAGTTGGACCTACTTCCAAACGTTCACATGCTGTAGGCGATCACCCGGATGAACCGGGCTTTGAGCGAGATGGTGATCGAGGGCGTGCCCACCACGACAGCATACCACAAGCTCATCATGGACACAGAGGATTTCAGGCAGGGGAATGTGAACACAGGCTTCATTCCCAGCCATGCGGACGAGCTGTCCACCCCACCCGATGACCAGGTATGGGACAGTGGAATGCTGACCTTTTGCTCCCGATTTCGACAGGTCCCTTCGATAGTGTTATATTATTTTGAAGGGCCCCTTCTATAGTATTATATTATTGGAACCTAGTTCCAATTGCTTCCAGTTTTTTCAGCATATTGTGCACACAGTTTGCAGATTTGTTCCTTGTCAAGTATTTGGGTCAACTGCTTTCGCATCGATTCACAGCATGCATTGCGCTTTTCCGAATATGATAATTGGTTGGCTTGCATGTATTGGGTGTTGTGGGCCTGCGTTGACTTGCACATGTGTATGTTCCTGGTGCGTTGCTGTTGCCCACCAAAACCCCAAATACTGCAGATACGTGAAGCAAATGCGAATTCTTGGAACCCTGTGGAAGTGAAAGCATAAAGGCCATGGGCTGCCTGCTTGATGCTAAGCAATGGAAATCCTGCAGAGTGTATTACTGCAATTATGGACAAGTCCATGTACATCAGTTATGTACATCAGTGGTGTACATCACTGGGCTACTGAACCCACACTGTGCAAATCCACCCTGCAGAATCGTCAACTCAACCCATGCTCCTGACGCTCTGATAGAGGATTTCCAATTGGCATAATCAGCAGTGCGTCGTAGCCCATCTGTGTCTTGGGTTTGAGCTACGCTGCTTGTGACTGCTGATCCGATACCAAATGATCAGCCAAAGTTTCCAGCGGTTTGTGAGCGATTTTTATGGACACCCTTTCAGCCCCCAGTGATTTTGGCGGCCTGAAATTGGACGGTGTTGCGCTTGTGATGATGTGTTGGACCCGCAGTTCCAAGGCGAAGATTCTGGCATATGAAATCTGACTGACTCCACTGGATTCAGTCAGATTTCATATGCCAGAATTGGGATCTTCGCCTCACGCCATTGTGTTGGGCAGTACTTGTCTATGCTGTGCAACATTGCATTCTTCGAGAGAAATTTCCCTGGCTTGAAGTACAACTCAAACTTGTGTGCTTGTTGCATAGTGGAAGCTCAAACTGGGCAACGGGAAGAAGAGCAAAAAGGACGAGACAGTGAGCAGGGTATTGGGGCTGTCAGATGCCTCCTGAGAAGTTCTCTGGCAAAGCATTGAAACAACTGGTGGAAAATGAGGATTTGGAAACGTCTTGCAAGGAGGCGCAGCACACAGGGCGCCGGCAATTTTGCGCAGCTTGCCTTTTCTGGTTCACGTTCCTATTCTTCGCTTTGCCGATCCTCGTATCTTTACGACCGGAATGGCGTTCTTTTCTTTTGGTGTAGGAATGAGCACCAGTTCTGGGCGCCACGATCGCAATTGGCAGGGTGTGTTCCGCTATTTGTCATCCTTCCTCATTACGTTATCCACCTGATTGAGAACGGTCCAGGGCCCCTCTGTGCAGTGACGCTTTGGGTCACTCTCCCTAGGTTTGGTCAGGAGCTGATGATGGATGGTGTTCGCGAGATCTGGCTGGGCGATAATGTGAGAGCGCATGCACCCGAACGTGGCCTTGGCTGTTGGTGTGAAATGTCAATATGCTTCAACACCCACTGTGCCTTGCGAAGCCACGGTCTCTGGACCTGCGCCATGATGACTGATGGCCAGCTGCTCAGTTCAGACATTTCTTTATTCCAGACAGAGCAAGTGGCATTCATGCAAAATGGATGTGAGAATTCCCAGTCAAGTCCCATGGACAATATCGTTCCTGGCCTAGGCGACCAGGACTTGGCAACACCACGCCCAGGAAGAACATTTTCTAAATGTTAAGCTGATAATGTTTGAAATGTTAAAATCTCCTAAACTGGTAAATACTAAAGTGGTTGTCAGTTTCAAACACAGGGCCCCGCTTTGTCACAAGAGGATGTGGAAGGACCAGTGGCCAGGGCCCCTTGGACCAAGGAGGCAGTTGGCCAGCTAGTTGTAGTCCATCGTCCCTGCAGAGCACACAGGAATCTATACTCGCTCAGCGCAGGCGCCTCTTCACGATGATCGCCCTGTCCAACAAATCCTGAAAATCCTCAACAGCGCATGTGTCGCCATGCCACAGGTCGCACCAAGCCTGTAGCAAATCCTGGGTACCCACCACGCAGCTGCTGGAGGGCACTGGTGATTGTTCAATGTGCATGGAAGCCCTGCGGTTGGGCGTCCCGCTGTTGTGGCACGCCCCTGTATGATCGCCAGAAGGCACCCAGCTTGCGTACCCAAATAACATTAGGGCACATGTGCTACACGCTAAACGGGGCCAGTACATATTGTAAATGCGCTGGTCAGGCAGCACAATGCCTCGACGGGGCATTACACACGCAGCATCCAATTGCAGCACTTGCATAATAACCTGCAACATTGACATCCTAATCTGCCGACGCAACCGAATTGGCATGAATTTCAAATCTGCAAGGCACAAAATCCCACGCCATAGCCCATCGTTGCATTTATGCGCCCATGCTGCCAGGCCGAACGAGGCTGCCATCGACGTTGGCTTTGAGGCTTGCTGACTTGTTAGGGTTGCCTTTGGTTTCGCATGTGCTGCGGCTGCCCATTTCGTTGCCCACAGTCGCTGCCCTCAGACGTCAGTCACCTACATCCTGCACCGAGTGGATGAAGGTACGCTCGCACGAACGATACCACGCATCCTGCGTTCAGACCCTTGCGAAGCCCCACATGCTGAAAATCTTCACAGGATCCAGCACATTAGCTCCATTCCCTACCGAAGAACTTGTACGGCCAACTGCGCACAATTCAGCGTGGCTACTGACAGCCACCAATATACTCCATGGTGTCACACCTTTGAGACATTATCCTCGATCGGTCAACATGCCTTTCCCATGTAGTATCCATGGCCTCCACCAATTGAATGTATGGGTCCCCGAGCTCCATGCCTGGTTGCAACAACGCCCAAGGGCTCATTTGCACGTGCTTCCTCTTGATGTATATTTTGTCGCCAGCAACGTATTTCAAGAGGCTGCTGGTTGCAACTTGGTGTGGAGTTGAAGCCTTGTAATCAAAGCGCTCGTACTGATTCCGTTCCTCCTCCATTTCATCGTTGTTGTACAGCAGGCGCCAGCAACAGCAGGGGCCATACGGATAGAAAGCAATGGGCAGAATCTTGCTCATCAGCAGTTCCCCTATTGCCTGCACGTATCTCCAATCCAGCTGGAAGGATGCAGAAGGCACTTCGTTTGTCCATCTGACCATTTCTGCAAAATCAGAGCTGGACTGGAGTTCCATCCAGCGTTTGGCCTTGCGCAATTGTTTGCCCCAAAAAAATTTGCCCACCCTCGATTTGCTGACGTTGATGTAGCTCCATTCGATGGCAAATCCAAATGCGCTGATGTTAGTGACTCTGATGCTCTTGACAACCGTCTTCACTCTGTTCCATATTTTCTTCCATTTGGGGTTTCTTCTCACAAGCCAGGTCTGACCTGTGAACACAAGGTATGTACTCTTGAACCACAGTGAGGCTTTTTCGTGCTGCTCAGTACTGTACTCTTCGCTGGGAAACCCCAGCATCTGGGCAACCTGCCCATTTCCATCTCCTAGGGACACACTCGGTTGCCGAATGGCCAAACCATCCATATCTTCAATTTCTGGCTCTTCTGGCTCTTCCAGATCTTCCCGCTCTTCCTGCTGTCTAAGCTCTTGCAGATCTTCTGGTTCTTCAGGTTCGCTGGCTGCAGATTCTATCCGCTGAAGCTCTTCACTTTCAGCGACAGCCATGACAACGCCAGTCAAGTCCATCCAGTCCCCAGTTTCCTTGTACTGCAGTTCAGTCTGCCCACATATTGTCTGCAACAGAATGGAGTTGCAGCTGATGGGATTGTACACAATCCGAACACCCCTGGCCACAATATATACATTTGCTCTCTTTGCCTTTGCCCACCTCAATTTTTCTCGCACCTGCTTTTCAAACTCTGAATGAGACCCAGTCAAGCCAATCTCTTTCCTTATCCAGGAGGCACCCCCAGACAAAGAAACAAACCATGGGGGGGCATGTACAGTGAACCTGTCATCGCAAAATACGTGGTTGAACAGAAAGGGAAGCAATTCAAGAAGTTGCCTACCATAGCGAGCTTTGGATACCAGTATCTTCTCTGACCTTGAATCATCAGAACGGCCAAAGATTGGAAACCGCTGAACTTCAACAGCTAATTGTTCCCTTGGTGGACATTCGCCAGGACACTGCCCCTGACACAGCCCCTCCACACTCCGATCCAAAGTCAGATATTCAAGAAACACATCTGGAGAACTCACAAGATCACGTCGCCGATAAACCAATGCTAAATTGGTCATGTCAGGACAATGCTGCAGCACATCCAGGATATGTGTGTGAATGTCGCCCTTGCACTGTTTCCCGATTGCCCAAGATAAGGAGTCATCAAGCCTCAACTTGAACGACCGCTCAGAATTGAAAAATGTATCAGGGGTCAGGCAGTGCACTATCTTTGTCCATAGAATTCCACAATTTATCAATAGACACTGTGCCAGTGTATTGATGCCTTCCATCCACAATGCTACAGGTGACTTCAGTGTGCCGTCCTCAATGGGCACATGAATGGGCATGTGCATTGGCAAGGGCTCGTGTGCGGCCATGGCTCCAATCCCCATGACACAAAGGCGGCCAAGACACGCCCACAACAAATGTGCAATGTAATTTGTCATTAGTCTGCCTGCCAGGCACCTCTGATATACCAGAACTGTATCACTTTCACTTTCCCAAACACAAGACCCTGGCAAGTGCAGCACCAAATCTGTCAGTGTCTGGAGCTGCGACCCCAGCACGACGTCTTTTGCCTCTTCCAGCATCTGCTCTATGCTGGTAAACGTTTGTGCATTCCAGTGGTAGATCTCCCCATCAGGATGAAGTACTCTCCTTATCCAGGCTCTGCTCTCTACACCACGTGTGGACTGGCTGACCCCAACTTCAAAAGTATGTGTTGATTGGCTTCCCTCGTCAGCCTGCTGCTTCTCCTCTGACAGCTCGCTGGCTTTGATGATAGTTTGTACCTGCTGCTTTTGCTTTGCTGACAATGCCTGACCTGCATGAGAAATCAGGTCTGCCTGCTGGCAATGCGACGTAACTGAATGTTCCTGCTCTGCGACTATCACCCCTTGCAGACCTAGGGGTTGTTGGCCTTGGGTAAAGTCAGCAGCTCTGCTAGGCTCTCCACATGCCTCTCTCCCGTGATCGTTTTCTGTCATTTCAGAGATCTATTCTTGCCTTCCTTGCCAAAATACTCCCTGCACACGAGATTTACTTGAGCTGACACAAATGATACACCGCAAAATAAACAGGCTCAATTTGCCTCATTCATATTTTAGGTGTAGTTAACTCTCACCTGCAGTATGGCACTGCTTTCTTGTAGTCCATGCAGAGGACTGATCACACCATATGCATTCACCTTACCAACAAGGTAATTTGACACCCAAAAAGCTAGGAAAGCAGGTCGGATAGAGCTTCAACTTCTCTAGATAACTAGGTTTATCATCTGTAGTGCGAGCCAGCAGATGGCAATGCAGGGTGCTCCAATTCTGCACAAAGCAACCTCTCTCGCTGGAAGGAAAGTAGGTCCATTCAAGTGAAGGCTGAGTACCGTGTCGTGAACGTGGGTGATCCTATGACTGGCCAATCACAGGTCGACTGAGCTCCGGCTGTCATTCACAGGAGCAAATGGCGGTCAGCAGTGTTCGCAAGTGGGCGACATTTTGGCATCCAGATACTCAGCTTCCAGGGCACCAACAGGCTCCTGGGAAGCAGTTGTTCAAGCAGAAGAGCTGGCGCGCTGCATATAGGGGAAGCATCTGGAGCTGAACTTGGCCAGAAATCTTGCGAGGAACCCCTCTGCATTCGTGATGCTGGTGCGAAGGTGACCAACGAGTCTGACGAAATTAGCGATGACGTCGAGATGGCCTGGACGCTCGCATCCTGCCTCTCATTGACCTTGTGCCATTCACTGCCGTCCTTTCCTGCGCTTGGAGCGACTGGTTACAGCAAAGATCGCAGCCGAGTCGTCCGACAGCCAAAGGGCGTCCTGGCAGCGGCCAACCCATCATCCCGTGAAAGCTCCAGGCACGCGTTGGGAGAGGCACGCAATC